GATAGGCCACTCTGCGCATATGAGCAATGTTTTTTGTAGTTCAAATATTGCTGTTTCGGTCTCACTCAGCGTGACATTTGAAAACATATTGTTCACAATCAAATTGCGCGCTGTCTCTCTCTCCCTCTCCCTCCAATATTTATTTTGAACGGGATATATAAAGGGAAAATCCAATTAAATCTAATAAAAAAAATACCAAAATCCAAATCTATATTTTTAACAATTTCTTAAGTCAAGCCGAAGGGCCTTGTAGTCATTGGGAATTTTTTAATATTGTTAAAAAAAACAAAAAATACCTCTATTAAGATCATAGTAATGCAAATTTTCTGAAGTCAACGATGATAAGTTTTCATATACTTTTGAATCCAAATCAATCAAATAATCAACAAATACAAAAAAAAATTTTGAACTACATCAATATCTAAAATAAAATCAACAAATATAAATTTTTTTTGGAACTACATCAATATCTAAAATTAAAGATAACTATCTGTTAATAATCTTTTAATCTATATCATATAAAATTTCTAGAGAAAAATACATTGAAATTTTATTATAAAATTCACTTACTAAAAGAAGAAAGGTATTCTTTTTCTTCTTTTTTTTTAACTCTTTTATAAGATTTCTTTTTTAAATTTAGAACCCGTCATAGGAATTTTTAGCTCAGGATGTGACTTCAATGCTTCAACTAGTTCCTAACTTTATATTGTGTGATTAATGTTGAAGGACTGAATCTGCAAAGTTTTAAAAAATATTTAATTTGTTGTGATTAGGATATATACATATATATATATGTATATAGTTAAACAATTACATATATAGATAAACAATACTACCTCCAGTCCTAATTATAAGAGCTAATTGATTAATTTGAGAAGATTAAGGAAAGAAGTTAAATTAGTTATTTGTAATCAATAGGTGTTATCTTTTCTAAAATATCCTTACTAATCAAGTGTATTGGCTAGAACTACCATTATTAAAAGGACTATCTTGGAAAAAAATACATAAATATTAGAGACAAAGTGGATTGGGGCCTTATATTTAGGATTAAAATAAAAGTCAAACAAGGTCTTATATTAAGGACAGAAGGTAGTATAATTTGAAGAACAAAAAAAAATCTCAATTAAAATTGAAATCAAATCTACAGCTACTTTCAATTTTTCTTTTGGGATTTCTCAAAAACACTTAAAAAATACTTTCATATAAATCAAGACAAAACTAATCTTTTATATTTATTTTGAATCCTATAAAATTACTTCTAAAAAGCTATTAAGCCAATTCAAACACCCATATGTGTAAAGACCCTAACCTCAAAACATTATAACTCATCACAAAATCACTACTATGGTAGAAAAGGAAAACTGTTAAAACGAGCTACCATAGTAGAAGGAAAATTTCATATTTTTAGAAATTGACTTTCAAACTCAGATCAACCCGTAATCCGTTGCATGCAACTAAAATCATTCATTTACATCTACTAGGCCTCCGAGCCTCCGGCCCGGGTAACAAAACACATCACATCAGCCCATCTAAAAGATTCCCAACAAAATAATCCCGAGTTTCATAAGACACTATCAATGGCCTCCGGCCAACCAAAATAAGGAGATACATTCTCTCCAGTTTACAACAAGGCCGGGTAATCAAATATTTCAAAAGCAGTCCTAAATGTGGCAATATATACTAGCCATACATATACAAATGCTAGAGGCCTAAAGCTAACCAAGCTCAAGCCTTTGCGTCTCTTCCCGATGGCCCACGCCCGGAACCTTCACCTGAAAACATTGTAAACCACGGGGTGAGACAAAGTCCCAGTAACCAACCTTTCCAATACTAGGTACTACTAAATAGGTGCTCATGAGGTGTCAAGTTGGGGCAATTCACAAATAATATATAATGATAGCCACAACAATTCATGCAAGTGCAATGATGCAATCCCATCCACCAAATCCCTCACTTTGGGGGATTTTCAGGAGCCGAAGCCGGCCTATCCCTCACTATAGGGGACGTAAGGAACCATAAAAGGGCCTATCCCTCACTCTGGGGGATGTAGGGAGCCAAAAGGCCTATCCCTCACTATGGGGGATGTACTAAGCCAACCATCATGCATTAATGGAGGCCTTACCACGTGGTAGTAACTATCAAAAACTCTCACCAAATCCCAATTCATGCATTATGCTCAAACCATAATCAAATAGTAATTGAACATTTCATAAGTAACTTCATTCAGTGGCATATCCTTCACAATTTCAAGATTTCATTCATCATCAATCAAAACCCCACAAGACGGTTTTCCTTTTTATACACAACATACAATTTGAACATAATTACTACTTGGAGCACAAAACATAAATCTAGTCACAATACCACAAAAGCAAGTACTAAAGATTGGAAAGTGGTTACCTCTCGCTTGAGCAAGGAACAACAAACTAACGATGTGGCCCCGTGCACCACCAAGACTCACAACCGGTCTACACAAGCACACAAACACACAACCAACATATATTAGCTCTCAAACTAATAATGTGGCCAAAACAACACTTGGGGACACAAAATTCCTATCTCCCATCAAAACTCTATCCAACTCAAAGGGTATATCTATCAAGGCAACACTCCAAAGTCATACCAATCCATAAAAACCTTAATTCCTTTCCAAACATCAATTAAAATTCATAACCTCAAGGACCCACTATAAGAATTCTACACCCAAACATCTATTTTGAACAATTGGAGTTCTAACAACAATCTAAACCGATTAAACATCCAATTTAACCCTCCTTAACATAACCCAATTCACAAAACTCAGAATCAACCTCTATATTATCATCCTCAATCCCAAATCATCCAATTCCATAAACCCTAGCTTCAAAAACTCAAGATCCTTTAAATCCAAGAAAACTACACCGATTAAATACTTAAACTAACCCAATGCAATCAATTAAACTCAAAACAATCGGTCAAAAACCTCAATTCCATCACAACTTAGAAAATCCTAGGGTTCCACCAAAAATCCTCAGAAATTCCAAGAAAGAAAGTAGATTAGAGGTTAAAATCACTTACTTGAGGTAATGGATCCTTAGAAATGTCTTTCCCAAGCCAGAAATTCGAAACCCTAGCAGAGCTCCTCTCTTCTCCTTCAGATTTTCTAATTTTTGCACAACTGAACCCTCCCGCGACTATATAGATTCGGGACCTTTCGCCGCGGCGAACTAATCCCGAGAGGGATTACTCGCCTGAAAACCGGACTTCGCCGCAGCGAACTCCAATCTTCGCCGCGGCGAAAGCTTCCCGAGAGGAAACTCTCGCTCGCCCAGAAAACATTCGCCGCGGCGAGACCTTCCCGAGAGGGAAACCTCGCTCACCTAGACAACTTCACCGTGGCGTCCCTATGACTTCGCCGTGGCCAAACATGCCCGAAACACAAAGCCTACCTAGAACCCCCGGTGCGAAACTTCGCCGCGGCGAACATACCCTGAGAGGGGTACATTCACCTATTCCTCCAACATACCTCAAATTCAACCCAAACACCCAGATCAAGATTAAATTGCTAATCTATCCTCAAAATCAAACCAAAAGAGGCTATTAAAACCCGATAAGACTTAGGATGTTACAATATGCAGGGATATTCTTCTAAATTTGGATTTTGCTATTTCACTTGAATTTAAATGGGATTTTTCAAATATAAAATTATATCAATTTTAAATTTAACATTTTAAATATTTTAGTTGAGTTTTTAAAATTTTTTGAAACAAATAAAAATTTCAAATAATTAAATTTTACATAAATGGTTTTAAAATTTGAAGAATACATATATATATTTATATATATATATATATATATATATATAAACAAAAGAATTGAAAGAAAGAAGAAGGAAAGAAGGGGAATATTCATAATCAATTTATACTAGTGCTAAAAGTTTCAATCCTTCTCTAGTCTCTCCACATATTGCCTACCGAAAAAAAAAATCCATCTCTACATATTTGGTATAATAAAATGGGGTGAAAAATATTTTTTTTAAATATTTTTTGTCACAAAATTCTAAAATCTTTTAAAACTAATAAAAAAGTGTCCTTTTGGTGAATACTACTTGCAGGACTATTGTTTGACCTTGTACTTCCTCTGCCATAAAAAAAATGTGATAATTATGATTAATACTCCTGTAATCCTATTTATAAAACATTTCTAATATTTTTTAGGAAAAATTGCAAATAAAGACCCCCCAATATATAAAATGGCAATCAGGGACCCTGAATTTGAGAAATTGCTGCAGAGGACCCGGTCCCAATTTGCAATTATGAAATATGTGTTAAATGGCTGAAATGCCCCTCACTCATCATTACTGTTAATGAAGGCAGAGACCAGGATTTTAATAGGTGGTGAGAGAGCTGGTGGAGTAGGATGAGCTGAACGAGTATGTGTGATATTGGGATCTTCTAACATTGGCAATAATGCGAGTAACTTATTGAGTAAACCCTTCTTGTATTGTTCCCCGTAAGAGTTACACATCGTCACATTCTTCATCTTCATCTCTGCTGTGTGGGTGAGTAGGCTGGAGGAAGGGAGGGAATGGGAGGTGTAGTTGAAGATGAAAGATATCACAATGAAGGAGGTTGTGGTTAGTTGGAGGTGGGATATTTTTGTTTTCGTAGTGTGAATGGTCATCTCTCATTTGTAGTGCACGGTGCTGGTTGCGATGGGGAAGGGGTCAGAGTGTAGTGGTTTGGCAAAGTGTAGGTTGGATAATGGCCGTTAGTTTGACCGTGAAGGTTGAGGTGTTGCCACGGAATGAGGGAATAACAATACCATGATTTTCGGTGTTGAAGTCGTCAAGCCCTAAAGTGAAGTTGTGAAGCCCTAAAGTGATGTTGGGAAGACAGGAGGTCACTGGTTTTTAATTTGGTATGTAAATGGTTGAGTCAATGGAATAAATGTGTAAATATTTATTAGTGAAGCTAACGTACTGACTAAACGTAAATTTTTGCTGCAGATTAGTATGAAAAATGGATTTCAATAACCGAAGAAGCTGTGGGAAGGAGTTGTTCTGTTACGTGCACATTGGTGGACATTTTGAAGCAAATGGTGAAGGGATAGTTAAATATATTGGAGGGAGTGTAAGGGTAACCAGTATAAAAGAATGGATAATAGTAGACGAGTTGTGTGCAATAATTTCACAGTGGATAGGCAATGATGGTGGTGGATATGAGATTAAGTATAAAGTTAAATTTGATGAGAGTACATTCATTGATCTTTGTGATGATGGTGATACCTGCAACTTGTTTAGATATAATAACAGCAGTGGTCATGTGTATGTAGGAGGGAAAGGGAATGATAGGGAACCTAGAGCAAGGAATGATCCAGACGTGTAAGTGGTTATGTTTTCCAATTGAATCTTGTTATTTACTAATATATTGTAGGTAATTCGTATAGAAATATTGTAACGAAGCTAATGGTGTTTGCAGTCCTAAATTGTAATTAGTAAATGCAAGCATGTTATTGAACATAGTGGACATGTCATTTCTATTTGTAAACTTGTGTTTTAGAAATGCAGACTTGTTATTAAACATAAGTAGAGGTTTCCATATGTAGACTTGTAATTCAACGTATTGAAGTTATAATTATCATATACGGACTTGTTATTTAGATATGTAGATGTTATTTTACTAACCAGTAGTTTCTATATGGAAACTTGTTATGTGAGTAACTCAAGTTGTAATTACCACATACGGACTTGTTATTTTAGCAAGGAATTGTTTGTAGATGTAGACTTGTTATTTTAGTTACTAAAGTTGTAATAACCATATGCGGACTTGTTATTTAGATAGATATGTAGACATGTTATTTTATTCAAACTGTCGTTTGAATATAGCTGTCCTAACTTGGTATTATGGTGGCAGGAGTGAGAATTTATTTGGACTTTCACAAGACATGAATACATTTGAAATGACCATTGGTGATGAACATGAGCCAGTGAATGTTGAGAATGGAGTTGAATGCCTAACTTTTGAAGGAGGCGGATCAAGTCAGAGAAGCAAGTGTAGTGGTTTAGAGAGTCAGGGAAGACTGACAGGCGAGATGAATTGTACGAAATGGGCAGGAGTGTTTGTAGGAGTGGGCCAATATGTTCCACATGCTGTTGCTTTTAGGGAAGCTGTGTACCAGTTCAGTATTGCAGAGAAGTTTGCAGCGAGATATATCAGGAATAGTAAGGAGAAGATGAATGTGAGGTGTAAAGTAGAAGGGTGTCCTTGGAAGATATGTGCAAATGCTGTTGGAAAGAACAGTCATCTATTACGTGTGACTACATTTTGCAATAAGCACATTCATTCAGCCCAAGACAATTTGATTGTGACTTATGGTGGGAGTGCTGCGTTGACATCATCAGTAATAGTTGAAGAGATAAGGGACCATGCTGAAAAACGGCCCACTGAGATAAGGAAATGTTGGAGAGGGAGTATGGTGTGAGGCTTACATATTGTCAGGCATATAGAGCAAAGGAAAAGGCAATGGAAGAAATACATGGGAAACCGGAACAGTCCTATATGTTAATACCATGGGTATGTGAAAGGTTGAAGGAAACTGATGACAAAACGGTTGCTAAATAGGCCTCCATTGGTAATAGATTTGAGCGTGTGTTCATTGCATACGGTGCATGTGTTGAGGGTTTTTTGAACGGTGCAAGGCCTATATTATATGTTGATGGTACTCATTTAAGTGGTCCATATAAGGGGACGTTACTGTCAGTTTCGGCATATGATGCGGATAATGAGCTGTTGCCGTTTGCAATAGCAGTGGTGAAGGGAGAGAATCTTGATGATTGGACGTGGTTTTTTTACAAGATTAAACAAATAGTTGGTTCAATGCAACTGACTATTGTGTCAGATAGACATAATTCTATAATTGGTGCTGTGCAAGTAATATTTGGGTGTGAAAGGCATGCATACTGTTATAGGCATGTGAAGGAGAACTTTAGCTCTGAATATATGAAATTAAACAGAGGTCGGAGAAGGACAAGTGAAAATTCAAAGGAAGATGCATTGAAGGTACTGGATAAAGTGGCTTATGCAAGACTTGCGGATGAGTTTGATCATGCGCTGGATGATCTCATAACCATGTCTCATGAGTTATATGAGTGGGTTATCAATCAAGGTGATGTGGATAGATGGGCATTGAGCAAGTTCCCATATAGAAGGTGGGACAACATAACAACTAATTTAGCTGAATCTTTTAATGCTTGGATGGTAAGGGAGAGGAAGCATAACGTGGCCAAAAAGATCCATGAGCACCGGGAGAAAGTAGCAAGAAAGATGCATGCATCATATGCAGCAATGACTAAGTGGAGTAATTGCGTTGGGCCAAAAATAGACGCAAAAGTATTGGAGCATGTGTATTTCGGTAGGTACATGCACTGTGAGAATTATGGAGGGGGAAGAATATGCGTGCACACATCACGTGGAGACCAAAGAGTGGACCTTGGCCTACACCAATGTAGCTGTCGAACTTGGCAAATGTTAGGATTCCATGCTCACATGCTTGTGCAGCCATTAAGACATAGGGGGAAATGTTTATGATTATGTTGAAGAGTGTTACAAACGTTCATCCCAAGAAAAAATCTATGCCCGGAGCATGATTCCAGTGGTGACAATTGATATGCCTCACCTGAATGATTATACGTTTGAGAATCTTACTGCTCAACCCTTGCTCTTACCCCCAGTCACTGCTAGGCCTTCTGGAAGACCAAGAAGAAATAGAAAGGAATCACAATTCCACAAAAAAATATATCATTGTACTAGATGTCTTCATCCTGGACATACAAAGAGGACATGCAAAAATCCTAACCCAAGTTGACTTCCACTTACAAATGGGACAACTAATTTTTTTGGCACATATAGGGTTCATCCTTCTTAATTTTTTTGGGAGCAGGGTGTTGGTAGATGTGCACATATATTTTTTGTTACTTCTATGTTTGGGACAAAGGGACATTAAGTGGAAGGTGTAAGTTAATGTGCACTTATCATTGAATGTTGTAAAGAACTTGTTGCTGTGAAAGAAATCAGAACTTGTCACTTCTTGTTATTTTGCATAGTTAAGTTGTCATTTGCTTTTGTGCACTTGTAATTTCATGTTCATCAGAAGTGGTTGCTGTCAGAAATGTGCAAAGTGTAATTCCGTGTTTATCAGAAGTGGTTGCTGTCAGAAAACGAAATGTGTCAAAACCATATAGGAACTTGTCATGTGGCATAGTAAAGTTGTCATTTGGCAATATCAAGTTGTCATTCTGTGTTTATCAGTAGTGGTTGCTGTCAGAAATGTGCAATGTGTAATTCCGTGTTTATCAGAAGTGGTTGCTGTCAAAAAACAAAATGTGTCAAAATCTTATAGGAACTTGTCATGTGGCATAGTAAAGTTGTCATTTGGCAATGTCAACTTGTCATTCTCCGTTGATTAGAAGTGGTTGCTCTTGGAAATGTGCAATGTAATCACTGTCTTCGAAAGTATGAAAATGTATTAAAACCTTCTGGGAAATTGTCATTTTCCATAGTAAACTTGTCATTTCCCTTTCTGAAGTTGTAACTTTGTGTTCAACAGTAGTGAAAATCCAGTCGTTTCATGAAAACATTATTCGAACTTGTAATTTTCGGTAGTGAACTTGTCACTTTCTTTTGTGAACTTGTCATTCTATGATTATCGTAAGTGGGAATCCACTCATCTCAACAGACAATCTCGGTTTCATGAAAACTTTATTAGAACTTGTAAATTTCTCAAGTCAACTTGTCAATTTCCTTAGTGAACTTGTCATTCCGTGATTATCATAAGTGGGAATCCACTCATCTCAACAGACAATCTCAGTTTCATGAAAACCTTATCGGAACTTGTAAGTTTCACTAGTCAACTTGTCAATTTCCTTAGTGAACCTGTCATTCCGTGATTATCGTAAGTGGAATTCCACTAATTGGAACAGAAATTTCCCTTGCATGAAAACATCTTGGGAACTAGTGATTTGGCATTGTCAACTTGTCATTTTCCTTTGTCAACCTCTCATTCCGTGAATCAATGTGTAAATTTAGCCACCTTTAATACAGAATCACAAATTTGTATGAAAACCTTTTCACAAGTTGTCACTGGCCATAATGAACTTGTCGTTGCCTGTACTAAACTTGTCATTGGCCATTTGGCTTGACTAAAGGGAAATTTGTCATTCCAAATATAAGTGCTGCTATACCATCAATCCAACCATATCATAACCATTACAATAATTGGCATACAATTTCAACAAATGAATCCATTGACAAAGTTAGTAAAAGTCACAGCCTAATTTAAATGCTCTCTATAAAGACGTTCTTCTCTTTTTGGTCATTCGGGCCTTCTCTGGTTGTGAGATAAGATCATACACATTCTGACGGCATTCATTGTCATCATGGTTCACCAGCCACCACATCAACTCGCGCCGAAAAGAGGACACATCAGCCTGCACAGCAAGTTTACCACCAAACAAGTCACACGTGGTCACTCTTGATTGCACAATAAATAAGGTAATGTCAATACCTCGGTATATTCAAGGGAAACATCAGGCTCCCATTTCTTGAGCCATATGAGCACATGCACACCACAGTCCCTCCTGCCCACAACACCACCCTAACAGTTTCAGCTCCTCAAACCAACACAGCCAAATAACATATCACATGAGTAGGGTGTAGACACTCACAAATTATTCTGCTGTGGTACATCAGGCAGGACAATTTCCAAGTTATCACTAAAATCTGGTCTGACCATGTGAAGTATGTCTTCAAACCAATCCCTTTGCACATATGCCATATTCATCAAAAGGATAATAATATAAAACTGTCATTTCCCTATCTAACATGCACAGGTCAGTAACATCTTACACATCCGGTGATGGCCATTTCTTGGGGGTCATATGTGGCTGCCTTCTTCTGCTTGGAGGTGGTCTTCTTACGCTGTAAACTTGCTCGCATAGAATCAAGGACATTGAACTTCTGGGTCTTTGGTTCGAATGCAAAACAGAACCAATGCTCCCCAACTAGAGCAGGACCCAGAATCAAGTCACAGTCACCTATGTTGTAGCCAACATAATGCAGAAGTATTTGTTGTGCATGCTGGTTAGGATCCCAACGAGTTGGATCACGGGTCATTATGGCCTGTGAAATGCAGAAAACCAAGTTGTTATTCACTGTAACACACTTTATTCTGTCATTTTCATTTCCAATCTTGTAAATCAACAAAGCCTATTAGTAATACAGAAACCTCACCATGAAGTCTGCATCAAATATATGCCTCCTAACTCGGCCTTCAACTGCTCGCTGCTCTTGCACCAAAGCCTTACAGACCAACGACATCACTTGGTTACTCACCCTATTATTTCCACCAAGCGAATGCAGCAATCATCGGGGGATGTCTTCATCAAACATTCTGATCAAAGGACTGAAACATATTCAAGTGAGTTACTAGATGTGTTATGTTAACATGTAGTCAACAAATAACATCACATAAGCAAAGATTTTCACTTACATCTCACCCTCATCACCTTTGACAGCTCGGCTGACTAAGTTGAAAAAAATATCCTTGGGCTCCATAGGCCTCTTCACTCTTGATTGTGCCTTCAACTCCAACCAAGGAGACTTGATCTTGCTGAACCGAACCCTAGTAGATCTCCTTAGTTGTTGTGCCTCCACAGATATAGGTCTGGATCAGGCCCAACATATTCAACAATGGCCAAGGGGGATACCTCCATCGGTGAGTGACCTTCTGCCTCATCACCTTCAATGGTGGGTGACACTTCCCTAGGGGGACTGGCTACAGGTATGTCACCCTCTGCATCATGACCTACAATATTGCCTGCCACTTCCATAAAGGAACTAGTTGTAGGTATTGCACTCTCCATCACAAGTGGTTGCTTGTCATTACCCTCCCCATCACCCTTGTATCCCCTCTCCCCTTCGCTCCTGTCATCACCATCCCCTTGACCCTCTTCCTCTATCTTTTCATTGTCGTTGTCATTCTCTGTGTCACCCTTCCCATAAATGTCTCCATCTTCACTGCTTACTTCATCCTTCTCCTTTTTCTCACTTGTGTCATCATTGTTGCGCCTCTCCTCCTCATCATCTTCAGAGTCACTTATATTTGTAGGCACTGTCTCAACCCGAGCCTTTCCTCTTGATTTACCCTTCCCACCATCTCCTTGTCTTGGGATTTACACCTTCACCAACTCCTCATCCACTATTTTCATCAGCATCTTTTGCCCTTCCTCTATCCTCTTCATTAGACGCTCACGTAACTTCTTCAGCTCCTACATGTAAAAGACATTAATCAAGTAAGTATATACAACAACAAGTTCACTATGGGAAATGACACCTTCACTATGACATATTGACAAGTTCAGTAAACCAAATTACAATTCAGGTATGGTAGATTACAAGTTCATTATACAGAATTACAAGTTCAGTAAACAAAATCACAACTTACGTATGACGGATGACAAGTTCATTATACCGAATGACGAGTTCAGTAACAAAATCACAACTCACGTATGGCAGATGACAAGTTCATTATATCGAATGACAAGTTCAGTAAACCATATCACAACTCGCGTATGGCAGATGACAAGTTCATTATACCGAATGACAACTTCAGTAAACCAAATTACAATTCAGGTATGGCAGATCACAAGTTCATTATACATAATTACAAGTTCAGTAAACAAAATCATAACTTACGTATGACAGATGACAAGTTCATTATACCGAATGACAAGTTCAGTAAACAAAATCATAACTTACGTATGACAGATGACAAGTTCATTATACCGAATGACAAGTTCAATAAACAAAATCACAACTCACGTATGGCAGATGACAAGTTCATTATACCGAATGACAAGTTCAGTAAACCATATCACAACTCGTGTATGGCAGATGACAAGTTCATTATACCGAATGACAAGTTCAGTAAACCATATCACAACTCGTGTATGGCAGATGACAAGTTCATTATACCGAATGATAACTTCAGTAAACCAAATTACAATTCAGATATGGTAGATCATAAGTTCATTATACATAATTACAAGTTTAGTAAACCATATCACAACTCACGTATGGCAGATGACAAGTTCATTATACCGAATGACAAGTTCATTAAACCATATCACAACTCACGTCTGGCAGATAACAAGTTCATTATACCGAATGACAAGTTCAATATATAAAATCACAAGTCAGTCTACCCATTGATAAGTTCAATATGGCCAATCACAGCATAAGTATTGCGAATAACAACTTAAGTTTGCCAAATTACAACTTAACAATGACAAAGCTCTATGTCACTATATCAAATCAGAACTTCAGTATAAGAAATGACAACAATACTATAGCAGATAACAAGTTCAGGTTACGAAATAAAAACTTCAGTTTACCAATTATACCACATACCGGGTCCAAAAACTCTACAATTATCCTCTCTTCTTTCCCTGTCACAGCTTCACTGCCTTTTCCTCCATACATAATTCCCCTAACACTCTTCCTCTCCTTGCTGGCCAATTCTTTTATCTTCT